ACGTGGGGGCCGTGGGGGCCGTGGGGGGCCTCCGGACCGATGCCGTTTCTCGGCGGCTGTAGGAAAGTTCCAGGAAGTCACACGTGGGTGCTGGAGTGAAGACACCGGTCTTTGTCGGAGCGAGCGACTTTGGAGCTCCTGGGTCCAGGGCAGCTGTGCCTGCGTGGCTGGGGGCGAGGAGGGGCGCGGTAGGCGAGTGTGCGTGGGGGAGTGGGGCCCGGTCTTGGGTGTGTCACACGCTTGGGCACGAGGTGGGGCCTTCCCTCCCTGGTGGGCAGCCAGAAGGTTTTGAGCCAGGAGGGCACGTGCAACCAGATGTCTTTCAGGGGGGGTGTGAGCGTGGGCCAGCCAGGTTGCACCGGAGGCTGGAGACTGAGCGGGGCGGCGGGTCGGGCAGGAGAGAGCCCCGTGGGAGGTGAGGGGGGCAGGGCTGAGTGGAACCCGGGGCGTCGACCATGGCGCGGGGCTGGGTGAGCGGCGGGTTCCAGACGGGCTCAGCCGTGAGGTCCAGGCAGGCCTGGCCTCCGAGACGCTTGTGGGCAGGTGCACGTCGGGTCAGGTGTGTGGCAGTTCCTGGGGCCAGGGATTCTGCCACAGGCCCCAGTCCCAGCTTCCAGGCGCTACGTGACGACAGATATGGCAGGGGCTCAGTTGGCCCCGGAAACGGGGCATGTGGAAAACGAGCCTGGGTTGCTTCGGCCAGCTCAGTCTTGCACGGAGCCTGGTCCCCTGCGTCCAGCCCTCCCTCCCCTCCCTCCCGGACGCTGCGGTGGCCCAGCGCCTCCTGGGCAGTGGGCCTGGCCTGTGCCAGGGCAGAGGGCCCTGCTGGCTCCCGTCTGCTGTGCTGCGGCACCGGGCCTGGGAGGCTTCCTGCTCCGTTGACGTAGGCCCAGAGTGTACGCCACACGCGATACGTGGCATTTTTCTCTGAGGTCCTCACCTGTCCACACCTGCCTTCCTCTCTGTTCCCTCCTTTCTCCGTGGCTGCCGTGGGCAGGGTCACTGATTACCCCGTCTCCCAGGCAGATGGGGACTGTCGGCCATGCCGGTCCCTTTTGCGTCTTTCTTCCCCTCGGCTTGATTGACACGTGAGCGATGTCGATGCTGAGCAGGTTTAAGGTATGTAGCTTGATGATTCGATGCGCTCACGTACCACAGAGTGATTGCTGCAATCGGGTCAGGTAACGCGTTATCTCACATCAGGGTAGTTGGCACATCGTCTCACGTTGTCTTTGTGCACTTCGCTTCTGCTGGAGTTTGACCACAGCCTCGGTCTTTGCTGTGGCTGCTCTGCCGTGTGGGGGGGGGCGTTTCCAGACTAGACAGCAGGGCTAGGCGGGGACCGTGTGACCTCGGCCACGCAGCTTGTCCAGTGCCCCCGACCTCTCCGGGAGCTGATTGTGTGTTTCAGGCTTCCTTGACGTCCTGCTCCTATCTCGGTTTTACGGAGAGTGTCCCTGCCACCCCCTGTCCTCCCTCAGCCCGGCTTCGTGCCACATGTGAGGCTGCTCTGGCTCGGTATCGAGGGCCTGGCCCCTTCACGGGCACACCTGCCTCACCTCCTGTCCCATCCCCCCCCCCCCCACCCGGGGCTCACAGCAGTATGTTGTGCTGATTGACACGGCCGTGGGCGTGGGCGTGGGCGGGTGTGGGTGTGCGCACTCGTGTGCCCTTGTGTACATGTGCGGGTGTGCACACGTGTGTGTGGACGTGTGTGGACGGCCCCCGGAGCCTCCATGGGGGGCTGCTTCCCTCTTTTGCCTTCATTTTTATTTTTGTTCTGTAATTTTAATTACAAAATTTTTTGATTTTTTTTTTTTTTTTTTTACACATTTTGTTTTTAATTTATTTTTTTTTCCCGAGTTTACTTATTTTGAGAGAGCGCCCAAGCAGTGTAGGGGCAGAGAGAGCGTTAGAGAGAGACTCCTAAGCGGACTCCGTGTTGTCAATGCAGAGCCTGATGTGGGGCTTGAACTCCCGGCCATGAGATCATGACCTGAGCCGAAATCAAGAGTCGGATGCTTAACCAGTTGAGCCACCCAGGCGTCCCCCAATTTTTTAATGTTTTGAATAAGCTTATTTATATATTTTGAGAGCGAGAGAGCACGTGTGCATGTGTGTAAGCACCCGCACAGGTGGGGGAGGGGCAGAGAGCGAGAGGGGGAGAGAGAGAATCCCCAGCAGGCCCCCCACTGTCAGCATCGTGGAGCCCAGCTCGCGGCCTGAGCTCACGAACTGTGGGGTTATGACCTGAACCGAAATGAAGGCTTGGAAGCTTAACCGACGGGGCCCCCAGGCGCCCCTTGCCTTCATTTTTAAGGAGCCGGTGTGAGGTCGGTCCTCGGCTGCACACGGTGCGGTCTACAGGCCCCTCCCGTGGTCCCCCCCCCTCCCCCCGCCTCTTGTGGGAGCCGTGGCCTTGGCCTCTCCCGTCCCGAGGTTCCCGCGTGTGCTGCCTCGGGGCGCTGCCTTGTGGCCTCGGCGTGCGACCTGCCGTGTCTGCACGTCGGGCTGACCTGCGGGGCTGCGTCGGGGGCTGCGGCTGTAATGCGGGTACCTGGTTAGCTGTTTCCTGGGAGCGAGCCTCCCGAACAGACCAGAACAGACCAGCCGGGCAGTTTTCCTGCAGCAGCGTTTTTGTCAAAAGTAGGGCTTCTCGGGGCAGTCCTGCCCCCTGGAGGTCACTGGGCCGTGTCTGGGGATCTGTGGTTGTCACACTGGGGGGCTCCTGCCATCGAGCGGGTGGGGCCGGGGATGCTGCCCGACCCCCACAGCGACCCCCACAGTGCCCGGGTCGCCCCCCAGAGAGTGAGTCGGCCTGGGGTCAGCAGCGCCCAGGGGACAGGCGCTGGCCAGGAGAAAGGCACGGGAGAAACTGCGTTCCTAGCACGCACGCCCCTCCCCGCGGTGTGTGGGGAGGGGGAGCAGTGTGGGACCCTCGCCGAGGGGCGGGGGGCCGGTCAGGGCACGCAGGTGGCCTCCTGTCACTTTCACAGCAGAGGCGAATTGTTTGAAGGGGGGTGGATGGAGGAGGGCGGGCGGGTAACCACGTTACCTGATGATGGACCCAAGGGGACCCGAGGTCGTTTCACTTACTCCGCGGCAGATCCGAGGCAGTTGATGAAGGAACCAGAGAGGCAGCCAAGGCCCCGCTTCGTGCTGTCTCGTTAGGGGCTCGGGTCTCCCCGAGTGCGGTCAGTCACTCAGATAGTGGCTCAGGGCCTCCCGGCCGCAGGACAGTGTGGACACGCGGGGCCCGCAGGACCGGTCTCCTGCGGAAGCTCCTGGGCTGCGGAGGGTGCCGGCCGCAGACACCTGCAGAGAGAGCCCCCGACTCGGGCAGCGGCCACGGCTCTGCGTGCAGGGAGGGCTGTCCACCCCCAGGGCACGGGGCTTTGTGGAGCGCGGATCGCCTCACAGGCCACGGTGCGGCAGGTGCGTGGACCGACCCAGAGCGGTGAAAATAAGCCTGAGCAGTGGGTGGGGCGGGTCTGGGGCCTCGGTCTGCGAGTGGGTCCCGTGGAGGGTCGTCAGACAGCAGTTTCAGGCGTCGCGCTCTCAGGAGTTACAGGTTGTCTCTGCTGTGTGATCACGTCACTCTGGGACTTAGTCTCTGGGGGTCCGGGGTCTGGGTGGCCCTGGTTTGGGGTCCCTCATGGGGTTGCAGAGCACGTGTCGGCCACGTCCGGCTGCGGTCCCCCCCCGTGGCCTCTCTGCCCAGCGCTGCTCGAGTGTGCTCGGTGTGGCGCCCCCCCTTCCCCTCGGCCAGTGGTGCCGGGCGGTGCGGACCTAGTCTCGGAAGTGACACGCCGTCATCTGTCCTCTGTCGGCTGCAAGTGAGTCACGGAGTCCGGCCCGTGCTCGCTGCCGGGGCCTCGGTCTCCCCCTCGGGAAGGGGGCGTCGTGGAGGTCCGTGGGCATTAACAGCCTCTGCAGTGGCTGGCCCTGAGTGTGGGGTGCCCCCTCCACCTGGGGGTGTGAGGCCGATGCAGGAGGGGAGCCCGGGCTGCGTTGTGCCGCGGCGAGATCAGAGCGTGCTGGTCCGGGGCTCTGTGGGGCCAGGATGAGGGTGTGGTGGCCACGTAGCCCCTTTCCAGCTGGCTCTCCTCCGATCCTTTTGATCCTGGAGGCTGAGGCGGGGGCCATCGTGCTGCCCTGGAGCAGCCCGGTGAGCCCCGCGGCCGCTTGTGCTTACGGGGGAGAAGGGAGACCCCAGGGCTGATGTTGTGCGTGCCAGCTCAGCGGGCCGGAGAAGGGAGCGGACGCCGGGTTTGGCGTGGCTTCTGGGTGGGCGTGGGACACGGGGCTTGGACTCCTGGTGCCGCGGTTGCTCCGGGTGAGCGTGGAGCGCTCAGCAGGTGGTGTGACGCTGGGTGGGTTTGTGATTTCAGGGCTAAGGGGGAAGGAGCTTTTGGGGACCTTTGTGGGGACATATTCGGTCCTTAGAGCGTCCAGACTTCTGTGCGGATACCCTACTCTTGACCCAAAGGAAGGCCGGCTTTGGTGGGGCCCCTGGTCGGGGGCCCGCGGAGATGTCGCCACGTGACGCTTGGTGTTCACGGCGGGCGTGGGAAGGTGTGGGGGGCCGGCCGGCCGTGGGGGCCCTGGAGGACGAGTAGCTTGTCACCTGAGAGTCCAGGGGCGGTGGCATGTGGCGGAGACATGGCCCCGTGCCTCCCTGGGGCACCAGACCCAGCGTACCCGGCAAGCGCTCACGGAGGCCAGTCACCCCTGCCAGGTGGCTGGGCCGGACGCTTGGGGTACCCGCCCGTGTCGTACCTCGGTGCCGGACGCACCGCAGGCGCCAGCCCCCCAGCCCCAGTTTCCCATCGTGTGGCAGGGTCGTATGCTTGGGGACACGAGGGAGGTAAGAGGGGGGACGCGCCTCCCAGATCAGCTGTGTGCCGGCCACGCGTATCCCACGCCCGCCCCGAGCGCCGAGCTCTTGGGCCCTTGGGCCCTTGGGCTCTGACTCCCCCGTGGGCCCTCCTCTGCCGGGTGGGCCCCCGGCCTTGGCTCCGGCCTGTCCTCACGCACCCTGCTCTGCAGGCACGGGCGAGAGCGGGAAGAGCACGTTCATCAAGCAGATGCGCATCATCCACGGGGCGGGCTACTCGGAGGAGGACAAGCGGGGCTTCACCAAGCTCGTGTATCAGAACATCTTCACCGCCATGCAGGCCATGATCCGCGCCATGGAGACCCTGAAGATCCTGTACAAGTACGAGCAGAACAAGGTGAGGCTCTCGGGCGGGAGCGGGCGGGCTGGACGCGGCGTGGGGCCCGGCCCCCGTCCCCCGTCCCCGGTCCCTGCCAGGGCCTGCCTGCTCGCAGCGCCTGTGCGGGCCCGTCCTACGGCAGGGAGGCCGGCCGGGGGACGGGCCCCTCAGCACCCTGTGTGATGCTCTGGGTGATCCCAAGGGAGGGGGCATTTCCCTTCCTTTTTTTTTTAAGTTTATTTATTTTAAAAGGGAGAGCGAGCGAGGGAGCGCACCTGTGAGTGGGGCGACGGGCAGAGAGGGAGGGAGAGAATCTCAAGCAGGCTCCACGCTGTCAGCACGGAGCCCGACGTGGGGCTCAGTCCCACAAACCGTGAGATCATGACCTGAGCCGAAATCAAGAGTTGGACGCCTAACCGACAGCCACCCAGCCGCCCCCCCCGCTCCTTTTTTTTTCACTAACAGCTGTTGGGACAGAATTCGTGCAGGCCTCCACTGAAGTGTGCCGTGCACGGGTTTCTGACGCACAGAGCTGTGAAGCCACTACCACATCCATGGGGGAACATTCCCTCCCCCCCCAGAAAGAAGCCCTGTCCCCCTCGGCCGTGACCTCCCCTACCCCTTCCTCCCCCGGCCCCCACGAGCCCCCTTCCTGTCCGCGGATAGATAAGCCCGTTCCGGACGTTTCGCACACGCGGACGCACACGCCGCGTGGCCTCTCGTGTTCGGGGTCCGTCCGCGGGGCGGCGGGGGCGGGCGCCTCGCTCCTGCTCGCGGCCGAGGGACGTGCGTGTGCGCGGTGGACACGTTCATCTGTGGGCGTGCCCGTGCGTGGAGGACACGCGGTGTGAATCCACTCACCGCCTGATGGACTCTTGGGTCGTTTCCACGTTTTGGCTCTTGTGAATCCTGCTGTTGAGACGCTCACTTGCAGGTTTTCGTTGGCACACCTGGTTCTCCGCTCTCGGGGGCCTGTTCTCAGGAGTGGAGACCGGGGGGCGGTCCCAGGGCAGCTCGGCGTCTGCCCTTGGGCGGAGCTACCAGCCCGCTCTCGCCGCAGCGTCCCCGCCGGCCCCGGCCCCGCACCAGTGGGCTCGCGCTGCTGGCCTCCCTCGGCTTTGCTTTTGTAGATCTGTTTTTGGAGTGTTTCATTCAGCCCCAGAAGTCTGCCCTGGGCCAACATGAGGTGGTTTAAATTAATCCGTTTGCTTCGAGGCTTAAGAGGGTCAATCAACTAGATTGCTGATGTATCTCCGATTGGCACCTTCCTCCCTTTACGCCTGGTTCACAGATGATCGGGGACCCCCCAGCAGGGCCCGATGTTGGGCTTGTTGGGGGGTCCATGCCATCCTGGCCGTGAGCCACGCGTACGGGGCCTGCTGGAATCTCTTGTCCTCTGGGTCTGGGTCAGTGTGACCTGCACCGCCGAGGCCCCCTCCAGCGTCCCGACCGTGTGTCCCGCGGGTCCCGTGTTTGGACCGTAGGTGTCCGTCAGCGTCCAGAACAGGGGCCACCGGCTGTGGCCTGTTTCTGTAAATAGTTTTATTGGTTCTCACCACGCTTACTCGTTTACGTAGAGTCCCCAGTGGCTTTCGCTGCATTGGCAGACACAGTGTGGCCACAAAGCTGACAACACTCCTGTCTGGGCTCTTACAGAAGCAGATCACCGGTCCCCGATCTCCACGTGTGTACAGTCAGTGGGTTTTCGGGGGCGGTGCCTGCTTCTCCAGGCCCCTGACCGAGAGGCAGGTGAGGGCTGGAGGCCACGGCCGGGGGACCGGAGAGCATCATTTGGAGGGGGGACAAGTGGGGGCAGCCCTCAAGTCCAGGAGGAGCCTGCTGGCCTTCGGCGCCCTGGCTAGGGCTCCCTCGTTCCCCATTTTGAGTTCTGTCCGGGTGTGTCCTCCCTGGTCCCTCAGCTGGCGGCCGGTTGTGTGGGCCTGACCACCCTGAGGACAGGCACGTGGAGTGGGCTGGAGGAGGAATGGAGAGTCTCCTGAGCCACTTGCCTCGCTGTTGTGTGTGTGCACACGTGTGTATATGTGTGTGTGTGCGCGTGCGTGTCTGGGGCATCCCTCGGGGCCTGGTTCCCCAGGAGCGGCTCCCCTCGCCCTGCGGGTTCAGGGGCGCTGTGCGGGTTCCTGTCGTAGTGAGTGAAGAAGCCACTGGCCACGGTGATTAGCTCAGCTCCAGCCCCTCCCCCTCCGCTGGCAGGTTCCTCGGCCCAAGCTCCACCCCCAGCCTCCTGTGTGCCGGGCGGGGGGGGGGGGGCGTGCAGGCCAGACAGCGGCTCCCCGACTCGGTTCCTGCGCTGGCTGGCGGTGGTGTTCGTTCCGTCGTCCTGTTTGCCCTCGGTGCCTTTTACAGGATCTGCTTGTGCGTGTGCGTGGTCTCCTCCGGTCCCACCTGCTGCCCCGCGGAGCAGGGCCCTGACCCAGCCGGGCACCCCCCGTGGGCACCGCCTCGTTCCCGGGCCCTGCTCACAGGGGCACAGCCGCTGCCACCCACCCTTGCCCCCGCCTGACCGGGTGACGGCCCGCCTCGGTCGGGCGCCCCGTGTGGCCGGGCCCCCGGCGAGCCCACGGCTCTCCCTACCCACGCTCGCAGGCCAACGCGCTCCTGATCCGTGAGGTCGATGTGGAGAAGGTGACGACGTTCGAGCACCGGTATGTCCACGCCATCAAGACCCTGTGGGACGACCCTGGCATCCAGGAGTGCTACGACCGGAGGCGCGAGTATCAGCTCTCGGACTCCGCCAAGTAGTGAGTAGGGCGCCCGCCCCGCAGGTCCCAGCCAGGGCCACGACGGGGTTGTCGGGCGCCTGCTGCTCATGACACGTGGGCCACGCTGGCGAGACGTGGTCACTGTAGGCAGCCTGGCTGTGCCCGAGCGTCTGCTGTGGCCACTTTTCTGTGAGCCTCTGCTACTGTGCTAGAACGAGAAGGTTCGTTTTGGAAAGTCCCGTGGGAGAGAGTCCCTCAGAGCCGGCTCGAGTCGTGCGGCTCCCCTGGCCACGGGACCCAGGGCGGGGCTGCTTCACCCCTGCTAGTGAGGGCTGCTGGGGGGACCGTGGTGGCCAGGCCGTCCCCCCACCCCACACGCGCTGGCCCGAACAGCCTCGTCCCTGCCGTGTTACAGCTACCTGGCCGACGTGGACCGCATTGCCACCTCGGGCTACCTGCCCACCCAGCAGGACGTGCTGCGGGTCCGAGTGCCCACCACCGGCATCATCGAGTACCCTTTCGACCTGGAGAACATCATTTTCAGGTACCTGCGCCCTGGTTCCCTGGGGGTGGTGGCCTTGGGGCTGCCTGGGGCTCTGTGAACTGCAGGAGGGAGGGGCCCAAGCACCTGCTGTGGAGACAGTGCGATTCACTGGGTCCCGGCCTCTGCTCCCAGGGAGCGTCCTGCCCCGATGGGAGAGAAGGCTCATACAGCTGCCACCGAGTTTCCACGTGAGCCGTGTCCCAGTAGTGGCGCGGGTCGTGGCGGAGCTGGCCAGAGGCGGCCTGGAGGGGAGGGTCTTCCGGGGGGCCCTCTGTGACGGGGCCGCAGACGAGGGAGGGTGATCTGGAGTTCCCGCCAGACCTGGATACGCTTCAGGGCAGTGCGGGCTTCCTGACGGCCCTGGGGACCCACACAGAGCTGGGTGACAGGAGGGTCCTGGACTCTGGCTCTCGGGCCCACTGTGGCTCGTGGCACGTTGGCAGAAGGGGTGCGGCGGTTCTCGCTTGGGGCCAGAGTCGTGTGGCCAGAGTAGACTTGGTGCCTTGAGGTCCTTGAGGACCTGGGCCGGCCTCTCAGTGGGGTCCCAGCTGGTGGAGAGTCGCTAAGTGGCAGAGGGCAGGCGCGTGTCTGCTGGGCCACCGTAACAAAGGGGCACAGGTGGGCGGTCGTTTCTGTCCTGGCTCTGGAGGCAGAGCTGGTTGAGGCGAGGGCACAGCTGGTTCCTTCCGAGGCCAGAACGGTCTGTTCCTTGCGTCTCCCGGCTCCCAGGGGTCGCCGGCCATCCTTGGCACCCCCTGGCTTGTAGGCGCACCACCCCGTCTCTGCCTCTGTGGCCACGCAGCCTCTCCCCATGTGTCTGCGGCCAGCTGTCCCTCTTCCTGTAAAGACAAGACAGTGGTGATCGCAGTAGGGCCACCCTGTCTAGTGTGATCTCCTCCTAACCAGTGACCTCTGCAGTGGCTCTGCTCCCACGGCGGGTCCCGTGCCCGGTTCTGGGTGCGCTGGTTTGGAGGACGTTCAGCCCAGCGCCCCCGGCACGGCGCCCTCTGCTCCTTGTGTGCAGGCTCACCCTGGGGAAGGGGCCGGTGCCTCCTGGGCGGGGGTCCCAAAGAGGCGGTCAGCCGTGGCCCCTGTCCCCGGCCATGGCGCCCCGCTCCGTGGCCTCAAAGCGCCAGCTCTGTTGGCTGTGTTCCGAGGGGCCCTTTGGCCTTCACCCCTCCCTGCCGTCCGCACCCTCTCTTACCTGCCGGGCCTCTGTCGGAAGCCCTCTGGGGTCCCCGGAACCTTCAGAAGCTGTGGGCACCCGCCCTGTGTGTGTCCGACAGCCCGGTTTCCTGGTGACAGCTTTCTGTTTTAATTAGATCCTCGGCGGGGTTGTGACCTCAGAGCTCATACCTGAGGTCTCCAGAGCACAGGCTGCGGCTTGACGAGGGTTCCCCCGAGCCCCCATTTCAGGGACTCCTCGCGGCCTCACCCTGACCTCTGCGTGTCCTGTGCCTGCTGTGTCCTCCCCCTCCCCTGCCCGAGCCTGAGCTGGGTGTGCCCCCTCTTCTTGGCACCATTTCCCTGGTGCCCCTCCCCGTCGCCCCCTCTCTGTGGGGTGCCCGAGCTCTGTCGTGGGCCCCCCCCCCCCTGCCACTGCTGTTCCCCACCCTTCGTTAGCTGCATTCTTCCGCGCCAGCCGCGCCCCTCCCCTCCGGCCGTGCACTCGTGGAGACAGCCTCCGGGCCCTGGCACTGAGCTTGGGTCTGGCCCCTCAGCGGAGTTGGGACGGCACTGAGTGATGGCCTGACGGCCCCGGCGTGTGAGGAGATGGGCCTGGTCGCAAACAGGGGCCTTGCGTGGAGACCTTGCTGCACACTGGGGAGGCCTCGCTTTCCAGTAAGGCCGTGGCCCCAGATGCCGTCAGCCGTGATGGCACTCCCCGGACTGGCCCTCGCACGGGGCCCTCGGCCAGTCCCCACCCTCCTGTCACCACTGTCCCGTCCGTTCAGCGTCACCCTGGCACATCCACCATCCACCTGTGCTCTCTGGAGTCTCCCGGGGGGGAGCGCTCTGCCAGGAAGCCCCGCTCCCGTGGGCCAGGCCGGCGACAGCCCTGAGGGTCAGCCCCTCCCTGCAGCCCCCGCCGCAGCCGCGGCCAGAAGCCCTGCCTTCGCGGGGACCCCTGCCTTCTCGGGGCCGGGGCTGGGGCCAGGCAACTCCCGGGTAGCCAGCGGCCAACCCCTGCAGGCAGGCCTGCGTGATGGGGTGTCCCTGGTGTTGCCTCCCCCTGCTGCTCCTTCTGCTTGTGAGCGTGTTGTTAGTACTGTTACTTTCCGCGTGTTGGTCCTGCTCTCCGGGCCGCCCCCTTGTGATGCCGAGGCTCATTGCGCGAGGGTTTATCTCCGTCCTCCTGTGGAGATCGAGACCGTTCCCCGTGTGTCACAGACATCTGTGCACGATGCGCAGACGAGGGGATGGGTCTCCAGGGGTTGCCCCCCCCCCCCTCCCCGAGCGCCTGGGCGCCCGGGCTCCCCAGTCCTGGGACTCCTTCAGGGGCGGGTGCCTGAATGCAGCGCCCCCGGCCAGGGCAGCGTGTCCCGCAGGGGCTCTGCTGCCCCGACAGGTGCGGGGGGGGGGGGGTGCCCCGAGGCCTCGCAGATGTCTGTCTGCGGGCCTGGGTGCTGAGCCCCGCCGGGCTCCTGTCCCCCGCAGGATGGTGGACGTCGGGGGGCAGCGGTCGGAGCGGAGGAAGTGGATCCACTGCTTTGAGAACGTGACGTCCATCATGTTCCTCGTGGCCCTGAGTGAGTACGACCAAGTGCTGGTGGAGTCGGACAACGAGGTGAGGCACCTTCCTCCGCTTCCTCCCCTCCCTGCGGCCGGGGCCCCGCCCACGCTCACCCCCTCCTTCCCGCAGAACCGCATGGAGGAGAGCAAAGCCCTGTTCCGGACCATCATCACCTACCCCTGGTTCCAGAACTCCTCGGTCATCCTGTTCCTCAACAAGAAGGACCTGCTGGAGGACAAGATCCTGCACTCCCACCTGGTGGACTACTTCCCGGAGTTCGACGGTGAGCCGGCCTCCTCCGCCCCTCTGCCGCCGGGCGCTCGTCCCGCGTGCTCTCCGGGCCTCAGTGCCTGCGATGCGGGGACGCGGGTGAGGACGGTGTTTCGCGCGGGCCCTGGCAGAGGCTGGTGGCTCAGTTAGTGCGAGCCCGGGAGCTTCCGGGAGCTCTGGTGGCTTCACGGGCCCCCTGCCTCGGTGCTCCTTCCCGAGCCTCTGTGTCCCCAGCGGGGGCGTCCTCTTGGGGAGGGCGTGCGCTGCGCCTGGTGCACAGCGGCAGAGGGACCCGGCTGGTGCACGGCGGCAGAGGGGCGGGTGGCAGAGGGACCCACCCGGACGCTGTGCTCCCAGGCCGCCACCCAGCCGGCAGTACGCCCCACCTCCCACCCCTGCAGTGGGAGGGAGCGAGGCAGTGGCAGCGAAGGGGTGGCCCACAGAGTGCCCAGGGTCCAGCAGAAGGCAAAACTGAGCAGAGACGGCCCCCACCTTGCCCTTCGGCATCCCCGCAGCTGCCTCCCAGGACACAGGACGGGGAGATGACACAGGCCGGGGCGGTCGGGGTCTGGCCGCTCCCTCCCCATTGGCCTTGTCCGGCTGGTGGACTATTGTCGCGTGGCTGTGGGCCGACAGCTGGGACGGGGCTGTGCAAGTGTGCACGCGTGTGCAGGGGCGCATGGGGCCGTGTGTGCATGCGTGTGGCCACGTGCCCGTCCGTGTTGGGACGGGGTTGTGTTGGGGACGCGGTGGGGAGGAAGGTGGGTGCGGTTTGGAGGTGGTGGGCTGTCCGACGTAACAGCCGACCGAGAGGCGTGGGGGAGGGGGGGCGGTGACCCGCGTGGAGGCCGGTAGGCGCTGGTGGAGCTGCCGCCTCGGGAGACCGCAGCTCGCGGCCTGTGGCCTCCACGCGGGGCCCTCATGGGAGCAGGGAGGAGGCGGTGCCTCTGCGCGTGCGCGGCGGGGGCGGGGCCTCACCCGCCTCCACCTCCCCCAGGGCCACAGCGGGACGCCCAGGCCGCCCGGGAGTTCATCCTGAAGATGTTCGTGGACCTGAACCCCGACAGCGACAAGATCATCTACTCCCATTTCACATGCGCCACCGACACGGAGAACATCCGCTTCGTGTTCGCGGCCGTCAAGGACACCATCCTGCAGCTCAACCTGAAGGAGTACAACCTCGTGTGACCTCGCCGCGGCCGCCCGAGGGAAGAGGGGGAGCCCCAGGCGGGCCCCTCCTTGGGGCGCCGCGCCCGGCCGGCTGTCCCGGCTCCGCCCGCAGACCGGTGGATTTCGTTTTCATATTTTTAACAAATGGTTTTTATTTCACAGTTATCAGGGGACGTACGTCTTTCTTTCTTACACCTCGTGCACCTTCTCACCTGTGTCAGCGGCAAGGCCGCCTTTTCTTGGCCTTGACTCGGGGCTCGCTTTTTTCTAAAAAAATAAAACAAGAAAACAAGAAAAAAAAAGGAAGCAGAAGAACGGATGGAGACAAGTGGAGACGAGCGGCCCCGGGCCGGCGGCCTCCCGGCGGTCACGCGGGGACAGAGCCAGCCGCCGGCCTCGGACTCCCCGGCTTGCCGTCCCGTCCCCTCGTTTCTTGGTCGTTTCCCTCCCAGGCGCGGCGGCGGAGGCCTGGGGACTGTGACTTCTCTCTCTTTCTCTTCCTAAGTTATTGACACCCTGGACTCCAAGAAGTGGGGGTGGGTGGCGCCCCCCGCTGCCCGCCCTGGGAAGTGCCTAACCTTTTTTTTTTTTTTTTTTTTTTTTTGGTGAGGAAGGAAAACGCAGTGTGCCCACTCTTTGGTCAGGGAGACGGCCTGGCTCTCAGCCCTCCCCGCCCCCGCAGACCTCTGGGGGCCCTCCCAGGGCCCTGCAGGCTGCCATCCGCACACCCCCGAGGGTCGCGTACCCTCCGGCCCTGGCCGAGGGCACCCCGCTGCATCCAGGAGGCCAGAAGGAGGCCCCTTTGGACTGGGAGTCACTTTTGATGTGTTCTGTTTTGAAAGCAGTTTGGAAACAGTGCGAGTGGGGTGGGGACTTTTTCAGAATCTTCTCAGGTCTGTCCCCTGGAGGCAGGAGCGGAGGAGTCGCCCCTGGCGGGGTTCTCGGAGGCTTCCGGCAGCAAGCACTTGCCCCCACGTCTTGCAGGTCCGCCCCGAGCCCCACCCCGGGAAGCGAGCACGCAGCACACGCACTTTGCCCAGAGCCATCGAGGGCCCGCGGTGGCCAGGCCGTGTGGAGGCCGGTAGCTGGCGCCTCGGCCCCCTGGTGGTTTCCAGGCCTGGCCACGGCCACGGCCACGCACTGAGCCAGAGCCGGGGCCGCCTTGCCTGAGCCCCCTTCTTCCGAGGGGCTCAGAGGGTGGGAACAAGCAGGGGGCTGTTTTGGGGGGGGGGGGGGGATGAGGTGGCTGTTTCATCTGATGTAGACTGAGCATGCACTACAGTGTTTTTCTGTGGGTTGGTTGTTTTGATTTGCACAAAGTAACAGGGATGAACCGCCGGTGATGCCTTGGGCCCGCCCAGGACATCTGGCCGCGGCGCGTTAGCGGTCTGTGTGGCTGCTGCTTATTGGGGCCGTCTTCGAACACGGTAGAAACAGCTCAACCACCAGCCCAGACGCCGGTCCTGTGTGCCTGGCCCGCTTCCTCTGTGCTCCGGAGGAGGAAGGACGAGTCTTGTGGCTCCCGCACAGAGTCCCTTGAGGGCGGGGTGGCTGCGTTCCTGGTGATCGGCCCTCTCTGGGGGCAGAATTGGCAGGGGGGGCAGGGCCCCCGCTTTCTGTGCCAGTCGTCCCTCGGTGCCTCTACCGAAAGGGCCCTTGTGCCGTGTGTGTATGCGAGGTGTGTGCTGTGGGCCAGCAGCGGGGAACGCAGGGTCCTGGCTGGGTGGGCACCTCCATGTCTTAGCGCCTCTCTGGGGCCCGGATCGCCAGGGAACCGGATTGGGCTCTCAGGGTGACGTGCGCCGCGGGCCTGAGGCACCCAGAGTATTCACTTTTCCCAGAGGGAGCAGTATGCCAAGCACCCCAAAGCCAGAGCCTGGTGCTCCCGGCCCCCGGGGGGGGGCGCCCCGGGCGCTGTGCGCCGCGGGGGGTGCGAGACCAGTTCTGTGCCAATGTCAGCGGGGGGGACCACGTGGTCTGGGCCCCTCCCTCGCCCATCTTGTGAGGTTTGTTTGTGTTGTTTTACACCCTGGTGGACTTTCTCGAGAGTGCGGGTCTCCCGCCCCTCCCGCCGCGTCGTCAGATCCCCAGCAGAGGGGAAGCCGCGCCTGCTCCCAGTGCCAACGCCCCCCCTCCCCCCCCCGCGGCCGTGCGGGGATCGTGCGGGGATGCTCCGGCAGGCCGCCGGCAGACGTTCTCCGGTTATACTTGTATATTACACAGGCCTGATTTCAGACGATTTAAACCTTAACCTATTTTAAAGAAGAATATTATATAAAAATACTGTTTTTAAACCTTTTGTCATTTGAAATGCATGTATTGTGAGCGCTGGGGGATGGGCACGTTAGCTCAATGCCAACGTCCTGGGGCCAAGGCTGCCGAGGTCGGGCGGGCTGGACGGCAGGCTTTGCTCATCGTGTCGGGGCCCTGACCCCTTAATCCAGAGATACCTGATGGAAATTGACTTTTCATATCTTTCTCCTGAAATGAATTCTGTTTTAAATTGGAATAAATTCTGTTCCTAAATGCCGTGGCCCCCTCTGGCTTATTTCCTGTCGCTGGCCGTGGTGGGTGCTGGGCAGTGCGTTGGTGCCGAGGGTCTGCAGGGGGCTGCCCGGTGTCTGCGCATCTGGCTGGGACCCCAGCACCTTTGGCCAGGTGTCTGAGCTCCTGGGACCCGTGGCCACAGCTGCCCCGGGATATGCCTGTGCCTCCGGCGCCGGGCAGCGACTGTGGCATCGGGGCCCCTGCTCTGAGGGCCTCTTTCTGGACCCTGGCTTCAAGTCCGTTTGTGCTGCGGGACTAGAGCATCGTGCAAGAGTAGCGCCTCCTCACTGGGGGCAGGGGACCGGGGAGCCCAGTTCCGGGCCGGGCTTGCTACTCGCCGTGGGGGCCGTGGGGGCCGTGGGGGATGCTCTTGTGGAACACGTTCTCCTCACCCACCTGTCTTAGGCCAGTCTCCGCAACCACTCTTTGGATTTTTTCCTTTTTAAAAAGTGGTAAGTGCACATAAATGTACCATTTGTGGGCGCCTGGCTGGCTCAGTCAGTTAAGCATCTGACTCTTGATCTCAGCTCAGGTCTGGGTCTGCGGCTCATGAGTTCAAGCCCGGCACTGGGCTCTGCACTGGGCATAGAGCCTACTTAAACGTACTATTTAAAAAAAAATTTTTTTTTTTTTTGATGTTTATTCATTTTTTGAGAGAGCATGAGTGGGGAGGGGCAGAGAGCGCGACACAGAATCCGAAGCAGGCTCCAGGCTCTGAGCTGTCCGCACAGAGCCGGACTTGGGGCTCGAGCTCACGGACCGCAAGATCATGATCTGAGCCGAAGTTGGACGCTTAACCGCTGAGCTGTCCAGTGGCATCAAACACACACTGTCGTGCACCCACCCTCCATCCGTCTCCAGAACTTTCCATCTCCCCAGACTGAGACCCTGTCCCCATGAAGCACGGACTCCCCACCCCTGGCTCCCACCATCCACTCTCTGCCTCTGTGGACGGGACTCCTCTGGGGACCCCTGTGCGTGGGGTCACGCGGGACGTGTCCTTCTGTGCCTGGCTCCTGTCACCGTGCACAGTGGCCTCCAGGTTCATCCACGTGGTGGCAGGCGGCAGGACGTCCTTCCTCGCCGAGGCTGGACGATCATTTTATGGATGAGCCACTTTCTTCGGTGGACACTCGGGTTATTTCCACGTCTCAGTGACTGGGAATCATGCTGAAGGGGACCTGTGTGTGCAAACATCAGGCTGAGAGCCTGCTTTCCGTTCTAGTGACTACAGACTGCACCAGCAATCGCCAGATCACGGTAGTTCTACATTTAGCTTTTTGAAGAACCACCAACCCGTTTCCACAGCGGCCGCCCCGTTTCACACTCCCACCGGCCGCGTCCAAGGCGTTCAGTCTGTGCACGGCCTCCTCCAGCTTTCCGCACTTGCTCATCAGTGGGATAGGCCTTGGAGGCTGTGGCACCAGACACAGCAGGGAAGCCGGATGGGGAACAATGATGACGTGAGAGGAGGGCACCCCAGGCACGGGGCACAGCCCATGCAAACGTCCTGGGGCAGCACTGGGCTCACGTGTCGGAGGAACAGTGAGAAGGCCCGCGTGGCTGCAGCAGAGTGGGTGAGGGGGAGAGAGGGAGGAGGAGGGGAGGGCAGGAAGGGGCAGGGGCAGGTCTGCAGGGCCTTGAGAGCCTCAGGAGGACTAGGGCTTTCCCCCCAGAGAGGTGGGCCTCCCGGAGGGCTGCGGGGGCATGAGGAGGGCCAGACCTGACTCGGGTGCTCACGGGCGCCCTCCGATGGCCGCCATGGGGAGGACGGACTTGGAGGGATGAAGGCCCGAGCCGGGGATCCACGGCGGAGGGGACTGCTCTGGTCCCCGCGGGCGTGATGGGGGCTGCACCAGGTGGGGGCAGAGGATGGGGCAGGGTCCAGGAAGTGAGGCGGGGAGGAGAAGGCCCCGCGACGCAGCCGGCGCACCTGGACGTCATGCCCGCCGCGTCCAGCAGGTGCCGCTCTCGAGCTCTCCGGCCTTCCCGCACACCGGCAGGCTCCGACGCGCGTTTTTCCGCGCGAGGGCCTCTCCTCCTCCTCTCATGGGGAAACCAAGGCACGGAGTGGCCAGTTCCTTGCCCTGACGGTAGGCCAGCGCTCGCCAGCCATGGGCGCCAGCCGCGGCCGGTCCAGCGAGGCGCGGACACGAACTAAATGAAAACACACGATCTTTGTTTAAAAAAAAAAGGGGGGGGGGGGAATTTCAAGACGGAAAACCTGCAGAACCGGGTTGCTACGCCCACGAAGCCTGCCCCACTGACCTGTCGACGGCAACCTGGGGCTGTGAATGATGCCGCTGTGAACACAGGTACGCAAGTGCCTGGATCGTGCTTGCCATTCGCCTGGATATAAAACTAGCAGTGAAATCGCGGCAGGAAGACTTTCTCGTCTTCTCCAAAGAAATGATCAGTTAAAAACTTGGTTATCCCAGCATTGACTTCGGGCCTTTGCCGGGGGCTGGGCAGGACCTGAGGTGTGGCCAAGGGCCGGCGGGGACAGCCGTGGCCCTCAGCGGCCAGTACTCCCGGCAGCCGAGGACTGGGAGGTACTCGGGAACGATGTACAGATCGTATTCTTGTTAGGCACAAAGGACGCTTGTAAAACCAGAGACGCGTCAAGGCGCGCGCCGTTCAGGAAACAGGAGACGGGAGGGAACGGACGCAGCTCCGTGGCGCATGCGCCGTGGCCAAAGCCAGTCCCTGGGAAACCCCTTCTAAGCCACCGTTCCCCAGTTAGGTTTCTCTCCGCGCAAGGTCGCCCCTACGGTCACCAGCGGCCTGGGCCACATGTCCACCGCTGCCCCGCTCGCTGCAGCCCCAGGCTGAAATTTAACCGGGCGCCCGTCAGCGGTCCAGGGTGGCTAGCGCGGCCTGGGGACCGTGGTTAGTGACACTGTACCGCACAGGTGAACGTGGATGAGAGGGGATCTTAGAAGCCTTCATCCCGGGAAAACAAAATGTCCCCTAACGAGACCCCTCGTGTGATGGTTTCACGATGGGCACAAATATCCGATCGTCACGTTGTACATCTGAAACGAACGCAAAATTATATGCCTGCTTAAACTAGATAAGCGTTGGGGCGCCTGGGTGGCTCAGTCCGTTGAACGGCTGACTCTTGATCTCTGCTCATGCTCAGGTCATGATCCGGGTGTCGCCTCTCCCTTCTGCCCATCCCCCCGCTCGTGATCAATCTCTCTCTCTCTCTCTCTCTCAAAAAAAAAAAAAAAAAAAAAAAATATATATATATATATATATATAATAAAATAAATAAATGAAAAGACTGCCATCTCTCGACTGAATTGTCATTGTATTTACCAAAAATCACATCACCATATTGATCCGAGTCTATGCGGTCGATGGTGGTATTTAGATCTTCTATATTCTTGGGGCGCCTGGGTGGCGCAGTCGGTTGAGCGTCCGACTTCAGCCAGGTCACGATCTCGCGGTCCGTGAGTTCGAGCCCCGCGTCGGGCTCTGTGCTGACGGCTCAGAGCCTGGAGCCTGTTTCCGATTCTGTGTCTCCCTCTCTCTCTGCCCCTCCCCCGTTCATGCTCTGTCTCTCTCTGTCCCAAAAATAAATAAACATTGAAAAAAAATTAAAAAAAAAAAGATCTTCTATATTCTTGCTAAGACTCTGCCCGCTTATTCTACTGATTACGGAGAGAGGGGTGTCAACGTTTGGGAGCAGATTTGTGGATCTGTGGATTTCTCCTTTCAGGCCTTTCATATTTTGCTTTTCTGTGCCTCGTGCATACACGCTCCGGTGGCCATGTCCTCTGTGAATTGATTCTCTAATGTAATGTCCCTCTTTGCTTCCTTGCTTTTTTTTTTTTTATTATATTTAAATTTAAGCTAGGTTTTTAAAATTTACTTATTTACATAACAGTTTCTAAAAATGTATTTATTTTTTTTAAAGAAACTAACACTTTAATTTTTTCATGTTTATTTTTTTTTTAATTTTTTTTTCAACGTTTTTTTATTTATTTTTGGGACAGAGAGAGACAGAGCATGAACGGGCGAGGGGCAGAGAGAGAGGGAGACACAGAATCGGAAACAGGCTCCAGGCTCCGAGCCATCAGCCCAGAGCACGACGCGGGGCTCGAACTCACGGACCGTGAGATCGTGACCTGGTTGAAGTCGGACGCTTAACCGACTGCACCACCCAGGCGCCCCTCATGTTTATTTTTGAGAGAGAGAGCGAGTGAGCAGGGGAGGGGCAGAGAGAGGGGGACCCCAGGCTCTGTGCTGACAGCAGAGACATCGATGTGGGGCTCAAACCCCCCAACCATGAGATCGTGACCTGAGCTGAAGTCAATGCTTAACCCATTGAGCCACCCAGCCGCCCCTAAAGTTATGTCTTTAAATTCAAGTCAGTTTTTTAAATTTATTTAAATTCAAGTTAGTTTTTAAAAATTTGTTTATTTAAATTCAAGTTAGTTTTTTAAAATTTATGTCTTTAAATTCAAGTTAGTTTTTTTAAATGTACTTATTTAAATTCAGCTTCCTTGTTTTTCTTTACAAATGTACAGCTCAATTAAGCTACCCTAAAATTTGTGTTTCCTTTTCTCCATTTGTGAACTTTATCTGAGGAGAGCTGTGCAAGATGAACTGTGGTGAGTCATTTCTATCTATCACTCAGTGTCACATCTGTGGGACACAGAGTGCTGCGTGTCCTTGTGGGTCATCAATCCTCACCGCCAGCTGTGGCCGCAGCATTCCTTTGGGTGAATATCGCACATCCGTTCTTTTGTTTGTCTTAAAAAAAGTGTTTTTTTTTAACATTTATTCATTTTTGAGGGTGAGAGAGACAGAGCATGAGTGAGGGAGGGACAGAGAGAGAGGGAGACACAGAATCCGAAGCAGGCTCCAGGCTCCGAGCTATCAGCACAGGGCCTGGCATGGGGCTCGAACTCATGGACCTTGAGATCACGACCTGAGCCGACATCAAGAGTCGGACGCTTAACCGACTCAGCCAC